TCCCCATCCGTTTTTCTTGTCATCTTTCTTAAAGGTGGATACAAATATATTGCACCGTAAGGATCGACTATATATATTCTGTATCATCGCTTCTAGTGCTTGGTACCAATAGTTTTGACCTGTGCTGGAGAAAGGGAGTTTCATTAAACTGAAGCCTGATGATGGACAAACTGAGAAACTGGTAAGAAGATATATACCACCAGTATTATAGGCTTTTCTAAAATATTCATGATCCTTGTTCTTTAAAGACAGAGATTGAGAGCTCACTAAATCTGTTGTTCTATCATGATCAAGACAGGTATGCCAAATTTCTTTTGTTGACAATCTTTTGTCTTATTAATGGCATGAAACTACAATTTAATACACTTGGGAGAAGCACCTTAATCTTCTTTTCTTTTGTTTTTCTTTCCTCCTACAACACTAAGAGATATTTATTGAATATTGAAAATATAAGTTTAATGCGACACCAAATAAAGAATCAATTCATCAGGAAAACCCTTAAGTCACTAGTGAGATTTATTGAAGACAGAACACCTTAGCTGTGGCTTCTTCCATTTCTAGCGTTTTCCTTGGGCTTCAAGGAACTTGATCTTCTTCGATTATTCCACAAACAACGGGTCTTCCAAGCAAATGGAGGGTCATGACGACTCCTAACACAATAGTAACCAAAAAAAGACGTTATGTTTTCTTTTAGCTTCCGATGCTTTGATGTTTTATCGGTTTATGCTCCCACTTTTCTTGACTTCCCCTGTTGGAATCATCCCATTTTCATCCTTGTTAAATCCCCAAATATCACAAATGTAGCTAAAACACTTGTAGAAGAAGTAGGTCTGGCACAAGAAATTTACCCTGTCGCAAACCCCTCGAATATCGAGTTCCATCCTCAAGTACTTTAAAAACTTTCTGGCGAGGAGAACAAGTAATTAACAATCTTGAGTACCTACTCTGTCTTGAAGTTCTCAGAAAAAGGCATCAATTGGTTTTATCATAACAATGGTCTTTTGATAACCACTAAACCTAGAGCCAATTCTTGAAACAAGGTACTTAGCTAGAAACAGCTGAACTTGCACAAGTTATATATAAATTTATACATGAACGAAGGTCCGATCAGTTCATTCACTGTCAGAATTTTTAAATTTACCAATGCAATATTCTAATGTATTTATACTCTCGATCTGTTGAAATCAGTTTTACCAATAGGCTCAAAAACAGAAATACTTTATTGAAAAAATTATCGTCAGCGATTTATGACTAGTTGATAATAGAATTATTGATGAATTTATAAATAAAAAAAACATGTAAAAAAAATTATCAACTTAATTTTGTTTGTTTTTCCATCGATAAATATGATAGATCACTGAAAAAACACTAAATATAATTTTGTCAATGAACCTAGCCGGGTCAAGTTTAGTTGACTAGCAACCCAATCAACCTGGCCTCTCTCTCTCTCTTTTTTTTGGTTTGACGAGGATCGACCCAACCATGTGCTTTTGGTTTTGTCCATACTTTTGGGTTGAATTAAGGTAGGGCACATCCGTGGCCCCCAGATTGTGTGCCAAAACTCCTAATCATCGAAGTTTCTGGCAAAAATTCTTCCCGAAATCACTTTCTAAAAGTCTTAATTACATATTCATCAATGTTTTCAAATTGCACACCAGTAACCATGATATGCAAAGATTGGGATTATCAACCGATGTTGTTACCCATTTTTGTTCTTTTGTTTTTTTCCTATTATTATTACGTCCATATGCAAGATTCAAGCAATGTATTTATTTTGATAAATGTCTATTTAGAAATTTGATAAATGTTATTTTTTATTTATAAATGCATTATAATAATATTATATCAACAACCAAACAAAAACAAAATAATAATAATATTAATAATAATAATAATTTGATTAATATATGGCAGGGCTTCCTAAACCAGAGCCATGTATTCCTACAGAATAAATGTTGATTAGGTCAATGTTTTGTTCCGAACACACACGCAAAAATGAACTACGCCTGCATCTGCCAAAAAAGAACAAGGCATCTCTAGAAAGCTGCAGATAGGTGTGAGTGTGTAAAGGTAAAAGTACAACAAAGGAGAGTGAAGGCTCATCTTACTCAGTTACTTGTGTAACAAACACGAAAACGACATCAGTAAAGTGAGAAACAGCATATATAACATAGGATCTCCACAAACTCAGACCATAAATGACCCCCAAACACATGCAAGAACAACCCCAAGAAATCGCCACCCCAACAGTCAAGTCCCAAGAAATTAATGAACCAGAAGCTACAAGCCCTCTTCCTTCCATTGTTAGTACAAAGTAAAATACCCTCAGCATTACTGATTTCGTCGGAATCAGCCCGTCTCTCTTGTGCTGTAACGGGGAGTCCAGATTCACATTTATTAAGACCAACCCTGCTTGAATGGACGGAAGTGACACAGGGACATTAAGGTCTTTGGAGACGTAGGCTGGCAGGTAAAGGGAGAAGAGAGTCAGTCGCAATTTCAAGGTTTAAATCTTGATTTGTGTCAAAATTACCCGTAAAGAATTTAGTCAAGATCAGTGCTTTATCCAACATATGAAAATATCTCTGGCGCTAACGACTAACCTTAATTTCAATGTTGACGGTCTCTTTGGAATCAATCATGAAAGGCCCGATTGCAGTTCAAAACATACCAAACATTATAAGAAATTTAAGCTTGAATTCCCAAGGTGTGTCGCTACATGACATCAGGCGACGACTCTACTTTTTTATTTATATAACAAAAAAAAGAAAAAATTTTCTAGTTTGGGGAAAATGAAGATTTTATTGGAGTCGTCATCTAGTAATTTAAGGGAACTAGAAATCCCAAATTAAACACCGGTCCCAGAGATTCAGGTATTAGGTTAGTTATGATTAAAGGACGGTAGACATCACTCTTAAAACATCCTTTCAAGAGAAAGGTTACCCTTACTTGTGTGTTTTTTTTTATTTGATTCAAATGCTATTACATTTTGAGCTTATTTACAATTTGTTTTTTAAAGATGGTTAATGTTGATTCCTAAAAATAGAAGACATGTCAAAAAATGACATCGGTCCCTAAAAATAGGAGACTTATCTAAATGTCAACTTTTAATCCTAAAAGGAGAGTTATGTCTGAGTTACCAAAAAAAAACAATGGATATAATCCATATTTTGTATTTAAACTTTTGACATCGATCCTTTTCTGTAAATAAAAGAGACGTGTCGACAAACAATGTTTGTAGAAAACACGTCAAAAAAATGAATGACATCGGTCTTTAAAAATAGAAGACTCGTCTAAAATATTGATGTTTGACCCTAAAAAGGAGAGTTGCGTCTGGATTACCAAAAGAAAAAAATAATGGATATAATCCATATTTGATATTTAAATTTTTGACATCGGTCCTTTTCTAAAAAAAGAGACGTGTCCACAAACAATATTCATTTATAAAACAAAAAATTATTTTAATATTGTTGAGAAATGAGTATAACTATACTTGAGAATTGGGCTTTGGACCCACAAACGATGACATGATAAGATGGGTGTTGGACCCACATCGTTATTACTTTTACATTTATTTTTGGTTTTTTTTCTTGTTTATAACATGCAAGAAATTTTACAAATACTTTATATAAAAATATTAAAAATACTTTTAGGAATCCAAAAAATTACCTGAGTGCCACCGTATATGTAAAAGACTAAAATACCCTTGAATTTCTCAGAAAATTATGAAAATGCCCTTGTGGATCGTGTAGCTCACACGCAATCACTGTTGGAGGTGGTGAAATTTTTCGACAAGATTTCTAGCCAATGAATGGTTGATTCTGGTAGATCTGATGGAGAGGATTTTGATGACGGTGGTTTTGATGGCTAATGAAGGAGAATCGATGGTTTGAAACTCTGGGTGATTAAAGAAGTCGCAACCTTTTTTGGGCCAGATGAGGCGGAGAGAGAGATGAAAACTGCTTGGGTTTTGCTTTATAGGAGGCGATTAGCTTTCTGTGGTGGTTCAGAGGCTTTAAAAGGTCAGAGGTGGGAGATCAGATGAGAGAGAACGAGTCATCGGCGAGAGGGGAGAGAGAGTCTGAGGTTTTGCTACGGTGTAAACTTTAGTATGGTACACTGGTGCCGCGGGAGGTTTTGAACCATTGGATCACAGATGAACTGATCCTTCGGTTGTGATTGACTTGATCTGCAAGTTGATCGGACGGTCTAGATGGGTTAATCTTGATCTGGTGTAGTGCGGTGCACCGAATGCTTAGTACACCGGATGACATGGCACAACAGGATCGAAGGGCAGATTATTTTAAGAGCTAAGATGGATTTGGATTTTAATCCAGTGTGGTAAGCCCTATTGTATCCTATTAAATCAGAGGTCCAGAACTAAACACTATTAGATCTAACAGATAAGATATTTGTGGTATTTTTTAAATTGTTTTTTTTATTATAAATCAATATCTTACTCACGTAAAGAAAAAGTAAAAAAAACCTCAATAGTAACCAAAATTTATACTCTCTTTTCTTTCTTTTTCCCGTCTCTTTTTCTCTTCTTCTCTTTTTTTCTCTAGCTAATTTTCTCTTGCTATTTATAGCTAATGAAAAGGGGACATAAAATCTCATATCACAATTGCACAATCTGCTTTAAAGAAAAATTTCATTGTTAGAGCTACCCCGCCTACCATCGGCACAATTACTCCGCCTACTATGACAAAAATTTTGTATTATTTATTTTGTTTTATTATATATAATAATAAATATTTATAGGGGTAAAACTAAAAATTCAAATCAGTATTAGAAAAAGCTTGAAACTTATTTTTTTATCCCTGTCAATTTTAAAAATCAATTTTAATTACCGAAAATTATGTTGGAACACTAAAAAAACCTTTATATGGGTATCAATTCGGTGAACCAGGTTTTTGATAAAAAATAACAGTTTTGATCTAAAATAGCCTAGAACTCATTTTTTTATTCTGGTCAGTATGGTTGGACCCATATTGACCCGGTGGACTCGGTTTTAATAAAAAAATGATGGTTTTGACCCGAAACGGCAAGAAAACTCATTTTTTACCCTGGTCGACATGGTTTGACCCGTAATGACCTGGTGGACTCGGTTTTGACTGAAAATGATGGTTTTGACCTGAAACTCATTTTTTACCCTGGTCGACATGGTTTGACCCGTATTGACTCGATGGACTCGATTTTGATCGAAAATGATGGTTTTGATCTAAAACAGCCCAAAACTCATTTTTTACCCTGGTTGACATGGTTTAACCCGTGTTGACTTGATGGACTCAGTTTTAATCGAAAATGATGGTTTTGACCTGAAACTCATTTTTTAGCCTGGTCAACATGGTTTGACTCATATTGACCCGGTGGAATAGGTTTTTATGGAAAGATGCGGTTAACCCGAGAAAATGTATTTTAAAATTTTAAACTTTTTTCTTAATTTTTTTGGTTTTTTATGAATAATAAAATAAAATAACATTCAAGAAAATCTTAGTGAATCCAAAATTAGGTTACAACAAGGTGTGTCGATGGATTCTTGCAGAATTTCCAAGGCACAAAAATAATTTCTTTCAAGCTGCATTTCTTGAAACATCTTGGAGACACTTCTAATATTAATTGATGGATTAGTTCTATGATTAGATTGGAAATTAAAGAGCTTCAACTTTTCTTATCAAGCATGACATTATTTTTCTATCATCATCATGGGCTATTAGGTGATGAATATTATAGATTTTCCTATTAGCTTCTTCCCCGTCCTGGTGATTTAAGATTAAAGCACTTGCATCTAGGAACTTGTGTTTTAAAACCTCCTGCTGATTTTATCAGATTCAACAAACAAATAACTTTACAACTGCACGATGTATTTTTGGGAGAAAAATTTCTTCCATCCCTCCTCCCGAACTGTTTGCTTCTTCAAGGTCTAATGTTGATATGCTGTAAACATATGTCCCTTTTAAAAGTTTTCAGTACTTTACTCCAAAATCTAGTGTTGCTTGATTGCTCCAACCCATCACCAATTAAGGCATTAGCCGTAAATCTCACGGATTTTGAGTACAGTGGAGACGTCATGTATACAAAAAAGCTAAATTGTCAACTGTTCAGTATACAAAAAATAAATTTAACAAAAAAGAATTTGAAAAAAAAATATCGATAAAAAAACATTTGGAGAAACACTGTAGCAAGGCAAAAATCATATGAGAAAACATTGTAACAATCTGTAGTGTTTTAAATAACTACAGAGCTAAATTATCAATCAGCTTAATATGAAAAAAAGTAAAATAAAAAAAGATAATTCTGAAAAAAATTATTTAATAAAAAACCATGTAGAGAAACACTGTAGCAATTTAGTGTTTTAATGAAAAATATTTTAAAACTAAATTCTCAATCAACTCAATAATAAAAAAAATCAACAAAAATAATTATGAAAAAAAAATATAAAGAAGAAAGACAATTTTGGAAAAAAATTAAAAAAACAAAAAAAAAACATGGAGAAAGCTAAAGCTAAAGCTAAATTCTCAACCAACTCAATATTGAAAAAATAAATTCGACAAAGATAATTTAAAAAAAAAAACATATGGGAGAAACACTACAGCCAAATCAAAACCATGTAAGGGAAACATTGTAGTAATCCATAGTTTTTTTTTTTGAAAATAACTACAAAACTAAGTTGCTCAATATATAAAAAAAAACTGACAAAGAGTATTTTTTTTTAAAAAGAGTCAATTTTGGGTAAAAAATAATAATAAAAACATGTGGGAAAAGCTATAGTGTTTTAAAAAAAATACCTAAAAAACTAAATTTTCAACCATCTCAATAGTAAAAAAGTAAAATCAACAAAAATAATTCTGAAAAAACAAAACCAAAAAAGAAAATATGAAAAAATGACAATTTTGGAAAAAAAGAAAAACAAATAAAAAATAAAAAAACATGTGGGGAAAGCTAAAGTTAGATTATCAGTCAGCTCAATATTAAAAAAATAAATTCAATAAAGATAATTTTAAAAAAATATACGGGGAAGCAGTACAGGAAAACAAAAACTATATAGGGGAAATACTATACAAATCCATATTTAAAAAAAAAAAAAATACGAAACTAAATTTTCAACCAATTTAATATAAAAAATAAAATCCACAAACCATTTTGAAAAACAAATCATAAAAAGAAAAAACAACAATGTATGAGAATATTATAGCAATCCATAATGTTTTTTTTTTTAAAATACATAGTTAAATTTTCAACCAACTCAATATTTAAAATAATTAACAAAAATAATTTAAAAAAATTAAAAAGAAAAGAAGAAATCAGAGTAAAAAAAAGCATGTAAAAAAAAGCATGTAAAAAAAAGAAAAAAAAACAAAAAAAACATTACAATTAAAAACCTTTGCGTTTTAAAATATTTGTTAATAATTATATATTGAAAATCACTGTAATGAACATAAATTTATAAGAATATATAAAAAAATTTGTTAGGTTATAATGTGATTTTATTTATTAAAATAAATTTTATAATTCGTCTTTTACTGTGAAAAACTTAATAATTTATATAAAAAAATTATTAATTGATCCTGTCATTTAGATTTATCTAATATTTTCTCTTCTTACAAAGTTAAACATTAGACTTTATAGATAAATATATTAATATAAAAAAAATCTTCTTAGTTTTTTTCCAATCACCAACTTACGTAATTAATTACTTGTAATTTGTAAATCAAAAGCTATCACTTCCATTATTGCTTGTAAATTAAATGTATTAATTAATATTTTGGTAACAAAATTGGTAAAAACACATGCTTGCAACGACACGTCGTTTAAAAAATCACACCTGCAAGTCACCTCCATGTTTTAATAGTCATGTCTCCACTATCCTAGACCCTCTCAGGTCTCCACTGTTTTTATCTACAAACTCTAACACACGCAAACCAAAATCATGGCTAGGAAGCGCCTTCTAACCCTAGCTCGCCGGCCCCATAGACCTTTATCAGCAACCACGGCCAGATCCTTTTCCAATGCCGCCTCCGTCGCCACCGTCAGTTCCACCACACCATCCACCCACCACCACCAACCGCCATGATCTACGACCGATTAGCTGAATCAGTCAAATCAAAGCTCAAACTCCTCGAAAACGCGGACCCAAGATTCCTCAAATACGGGTCACCCCACCCAACTCTCAAAACCCACACCCATATCCTCTCCTCACCTGAAACCCGCATCACTACGCTCCCTCATGGTCTCCGTGTCGCTACTGAGTCGAATCTGGCTGCTAAAACTGCGACTGTTGGGGATTGGATTGATGCCGGGTCGAGATTTGAGTCCGATGAGACAAATGGGACTGCTCATTTCTCGGAACATATGATATTTAAGGGAACGGAGAAAAGGGGTGTGAGGGAATTGGAAGAGGAGATAGAGAATATGGGAGGGCATTTGAATGCGTATACAGGTAGAGAACAGACTACCTTTTATGCTAAAGTTATGGACAAAGATGTTAACAAGGCCTTGGATATTTTGGCCGATATTTTGCAGAACTCTACTTTCGATGAGGGGAGGATATCTAGGGAGTGGGACGTTATTACTTTGGAAATGAAGGAGGTAAATTTGGGTTTTTTCTGTTGTTTGAACTTGGATTGGAAATGGATTTTTGTTGTTTTGCCTGTTGTGTCTAAAGAGTCTAGCGTTTTGTGTTCGGTGGTTGTAAAATTCTGTCTTCTGGGTTGTGGGTTTTGGTTGTTTATGTTTAAAGTTTTGTGCTTTTGGGTTTAACTGTCATGAAAGTTGGTGTCTTTGTAGCTTTGGTCAATGGGATTTGACACGGTTCTTTGTATTTTTGGGTTGAGCATGTGGGAATTAGAATTGCATAGTTTTCTATGCTTGCTGGTTTTTAATTTAGAAATGCTAATAGTTGTTGATTTACTTACAAGTAAATGAGGGATGTCATTGTTGTTTGCAAGTGTGGGTCATTTAGTTAACTTTTTTGGTGTTTGTTTTATGAAGTTTTTCAAATAGAAGGTGTGGTGTTTGTTTGTCGGGTAGTTTTAGATGTCAGGTCCTAGCATCAAAGTTTCAAACTTGTTTAAATGAATCCTGGTTATGGAGAAATGGTCATGTATTTGTTAGTGAATGGTTTTAAATGTTATGTTCTAGTGATAAAGTTTTAAACTTGCTTAACTTGATCTTTGTTGTAAGCATACTGAGTTGTTTGCTATGCTGTGTACTGAACAAAATGCTCAATTGCTTTTCAAAGTTACGAAAGTGGGTAATTTTCATGTGAAAAATGTGTTGTTGTATTGTACTTCCAGTAACATTTTACTGCCGGCATTCAGTTTTCTTAGTTCAATGTTTTCTATGGATATAGCCTTGATTTTGCTTCCTGCTTCTAACAGTTATAAATGATGTATGTGGAAAATTGTAGGTTGAGGGGCAAACCGAGGAAGTAATTTTTGACCATTTGCTTGCAACTGCTTTTCAATACACTCCTTTAGGTAGAACTATTCTGGGACCTGCTAAAAACATCGAGACAATATCCAGGAATGATCTTCAGAACTATATACAAACACACTACACAGCTCCCAGAATGGTAATGCTTTATGTTATTTTACTTTTGTACAAGATGGAGTTGTGGGACTGCTGAACGATTATTTCCATTTTCCTTTCTGCTTGCTATTAAGATTGAAGGCCTTCTGTTGAAATTCTTATCATGGGTATTTGTGTGACTTTCATTTCAGGTGATTGTCGCATCAGGGGCTGTGAAGCATGAGGAATTTGTTGGGGAAGTAAAGAAGTTGTTTACGAAGTTATCATCTGATCCAACTACTGCTGCACAGTTAGTTTCCAAAGACCCTGCATATTTCACTGGTTCTGAGGTGGGAAGATGTAACTTGAAATCCATGCCTTCTTTCTATGCCTTTTTCTTTCTCTAAACTACTGTTTCCGCTTATTGTTGTGAAAAATCAGGTCAGGATAATTGATGACGATGTTCCTCTGGCACAATTTGCTGTCGCTTTTCAAGGAGCATCTTGGACAGATCCAGATTCCATTGCTTTGATGGTCATGCAGGCTATGTTGGGTTCTTGGAACAAGAGTGCAGGAGGTGGAAAGCACATGGGGTAACCTCTCCTCTCTCTAATTTACCACATTTGCCGCTATTCATCTTTAAAAAATCATTTGTATTAGGGGAGGCTTCATTTAACAGTTTAGGAATTTTATTATAACATTTCTGGAGAGCAAATTTGTACAGTGGTCTGTATTTACAGAAATTGTGTCGACTCATGAGCTACAAATGGAATCCCTTATGCTGGTGGAGTTATAAGCAATTAAGCTTAAAAAATAAGATTTTTCAAACATTACATTTAATAGGGCTGCGTGATTAACCCCTAAGGTTTCAATGATCATTCTTTTCTATGTTTTTCCACATCCTAACAAGTTTCAAAGTTTAACTGGCTGACTATTTGAGACACTTTTGTCTTGTTAGCAAGGGCATTGATTAAATCTCAATCATTGGACAGTTCTGAACTACCACAAAGGGTTGGCATTGATGAAATAGCAGAAAGCGATGGCTTTCAACACAAACTATGAGGACACTGGTCTTTTTGGTGTTTGTGCTGTTGCGAAGGTATGGAGATTTTTCTTGTTTTCTTATTATTTGGAAAAATGTAGCTTTAGCATAGTCGAGCAAGGAATGGAAAAGGTGCAAGTAACTTTGGAATGAATCTTAATGTGTCAATAATGTTTTCACATAGCCTCCAATAGGAACTTGACTGGCACTCTCTCTCATCATGTAATTTGGTTCATCAACCAATGCATAACTCTCAGTAAATCATGCTTCTGAGAACTTTTATGAAGTCAGTTCCAATCTTGCACTGCTTTGACTGGTATATAATTGGAAATTGTATGCCTTCCTAGGTAATGCTACATTATGTGTTTGTGGCCCACCATCATTTCTTCCCATCATCTCTCTTTTGCTGTCTCATTTAAATTAGTCATTAAAGATTTGTTACTTGCTGATTCGTCTTTGAAAGCATAAGATGTTCAAGTGTAGCAAGTCTCTGCTATGATATATATATCATGATAATTAAGTCATTTTGCCTTTTGATTGGATTCTTGTTTAAGATGTTTTTTCCCTCTTTTCTCAATGAAAAAAATTGTCTGATGCTTTGTTTTCAGCCGGATAGCTTGGATGATTTAGCCTGGCCAATCATGCACGAGACATCTAAGTTATGCTACAAGTTTCAGAAGCTGATGTAATGCGTGCTTGTAATCAGGTGGTTACTAATGTTCATCCTTCGTTGGCTGATCTTTTAGCTGGTGCAAAGGCTTTCAAATTATTTTCATCTAATTTATCTTGTCTCACCAAAACCTAAGTTATTAATTATGACAAGATTGCTTGATTAGGAGATTCAAAGGGAACCCCCCCAGCTGCCACGCTGTCTCCCCCAACCAATCTAAACAGTTACAGAATGATGAAAGTTTTTACAAGATATGAAGAGATTTTTTTCTTCGTTAGATTCAAGATTTTTTTCTTAATTATTTCTAGCACTCCCCTTTACTCTGCAGGTATTGGTTTGGTGAGGACATCTGCCATTTGCTGGCAACGCATTCCCTAATTCTTCCTTTGCTAGCAAATTGAGACTCTGAAAATTAGATGGCCATATCTGTATTGCCACAACATTACTCGCCCACGCTCTCAGTTCTAAGACCATCATGAAGAATAACAAGACCTTGTTAGGAGAACTATTTGATTTCGTGAAGGATTCATGACCTTTTCTCGTTATTTGTAGCTAAACTCTACTCATTGATTGGTTGAGATTTATTTGTTTTGTTTTATTTTTGGTAAGGAGAATCTCAAAATCAGATTGGTTGAGAATTAACTGCAGCTTGTACAGATCACTCTTATATAATATAATTTCCTACAATGTCACTCCTGATTTAGAAAGGAAATTTTTTTTTTCCTATACTACCGGATGACAGCTGCCTTGTTAAATTTCCTACAATGTTATGTTTTACCCTTCAAATATATACATATATAGCAGCAGTCACGAGAAGGAGTATTTATATCTCCTCTTTCTTTTGCTTTTTGCTTCAGAGTAGGTTTATTATATCATTATCATTATTATTTAACTATCAATAGAGCATCAAAGGCTAATGAAACTTGAATTCCAGGTATTTCTAATTATAGCTCTTCTTGTATTCTTTATTTGGATATACAATATTTATATTTTGTTAATACATGTATGTATATAGTCTATGATTTAGCTTTAATTAATTTTAGTAGTGTATAAAATATGATCAGTCAGCCACCAACTAAACTTAATATGTGACAGATTGTGCATTCGAAAGTAATTTTGACAATAACAATAACAGCTAACAAAACAGATATAGAAAAAAATAACATAATAATTTATAAAATAGTTTTTTATAATATATAATACTTGTTTTACTCTCTTTCAACTTGTTATCTAGAATCAAGAAAATTTATACATAGGCCCATATTATAATTTCAAAATAAATAAAAACAATAAATCAAGCTATTTTTTTTCTTGATCTTCTTCAACTTGGGGTTCATCTTCTAGCATTGATTTTTAATAGTTCCAAAAACAATTAAGGTCCATTGATGCAACTAATGTAGAAGGTATTGCATCTTGATCATTACCTAATATTTTTTTCACTTTAAGATTTGATATGACTGAATAGATTTCAGTATCCATATCTGTAGTACTGTCTTGTGAGACATCGACCATATTCCTTTCAATCTTGAAACTTTGCTGCTTCATGTTTGTGCCTTGGTTTGTAATCAAGGCTCTTAAGATCGAGTGGTCTTGCATTAAAATAGAACCTGGATTTTGTAAGTTTCCTGATACCGGGACAGCTTGAGGAGTGTACAATGGATTCAAAAGTAGGATTCGTGGAAAAACGTCTAAAGGGCTTGTTGAAATTGCTAAAAGATGATTGTCAAAGCTATCAATTGTCTTGTTGGTTTCTTTGAACATTAATGGGATTGGAGAAGCAGCGCACGTAGGTCGACTCGGCTACTGGCTTAATCTTGCAATTCATTACTAATGGCTGACCGAGTTTCATTAGTTTCCATCAATGAGTGCTCGCAGGGGAATCCGAGACATTAAACTCTACTCATTGATTGGTTGAGATTTTTTTGTTTTGTTTTACTTTTGGTAAGGAGACTTAACTGCAGCTTGTACAGATCACTTTTATATAATATAATTTCTTATATTGTCACTTCTAATTTAAAAAGGGAAGCAAAATTTTCCTATACTATATACATAGATACTTCCTGCTGCCTTGTTAAATTTCCTAGAATGTTTTGTTTTCCTCTTCAATATACATACATACATACATATATATATATATATATATACATACATACATATATATATATATATACATACATATATTATAGCAACAGTCGTAAGAAGAAGAATATTTATGTCTCTTTTCTTTCTTTGACCTTTTGCTTTAGAGTAGGCTTCTTCTTGTTGTTATTATTATGGTTATTTGACTATCAATAGAGCATCAGGGCAAACTAATGAAACCTGGGTTCTAGGTATCTCTAGCTACAGCTATCCTTGTATTCTTTACTTGGTAACAGTTTCTGTTTTTGGGGTTTAGGGTTCTCTTGATCATCTATTTCAAACAATGATTGATAATTTAATTTATTATTCTTTCATGAATTCTGATCAGGTCGAAGCCAGAAAGGAGGATCGGATAAGCCAGCTTCCCGATCGCATCCTATCCATCATTCTATCAAAATTACCCATGAAAGATTTGGTTAAGACCAGTGCTCTATCCAACAGATGGAAGCACCTCTGGACGTTGAGGACCAACCTCAATTTTGATGTTGACGGCATCTTTGGAACCAATCATGAGAGGCCCGATTGCAGTTCAAAACATAGCAAATATTATAAGGAATTTAAGCTGGAATTCGCAAGGTGTGTCGATGGATTCTTGCAGAATTTCCAAGGCACAAAAATAATTTCTTTCAAGCTGCATTTCTTGAAACATCTTGGAGACACTTCTAACATTAACCGATGGATTAGTTCTGTGATTGGATTGGGAATTGAAGAGCTTGAACTTATCTTATCAGGCATGACATTATTTTCCTATTATCATCATGGTCTATTAGGTGATGAATATTATACATTTCCCTATTGGCTTCTTCCCCATCCTAGTGATTCAAGATTAAAGCACGTGCATTTACGAACTTGTGTTTTAAAACCTCCTGTTGATTTTATCGGATTCAACAAGCTAATAACCTTACAACTGCACGATGTATTTTTGGGAGAAGAATTTCTTGCATCCCTCTTCTCCAACTGTTTGCTTCTTCAAGGTCTAATGTTGATACGCTGTAAACATGTCTATTTTAAAAGTTTTCAGTACTTCACTCCAAAATCTAGTGTTGCTTGATTGTTCCAACCCATCTCCAATTAAGGTAATAGCCGTAAACCTCATGAATTTTGAGTATAGTGGAGACATCATGAAGATCACTGTATTTGTTGCTCCTTGTCTGGTAAAGATCTACTTCAATTTCAATTCAATTCATGTAATAGACATGCCAAATGCACTATCCTACTGTGCAACATTTCCAACTTTACATACTCTAATCCTGCATCTGGACCCTTGGAAGGTATGTAAAGAATTAGAATTCACGAAGTGTAACTAACCTCCAATGATGACAATGAGAATCTATTTTCTAATCTGTTTTTGTTTTCATTCAGGAAAAAAGATTGCCACAGAGCATGGACTCGCTCAGAAATCTGAAGCAACTAGAGCTATTTTATATCAGAGCAATTAAGGAAGAGGATCTGTTGTGGGTATTGACATATCTAAATGCTTGTCCACTTCTGGAGAAACTTGATATAACGGTCAGTTGCTATATATTCTGTCAAATCTAAAACATTCTGGGAAACACTTTATTTGAATTGTTTGTTATCAGCTTACATTCGACAGTCTGTTTTGCCAAAACAGTCGGAGTATAATTTTGTCTAATATTGTGAATCTTATTGTGAGTTGTCTATAGCTGAGCGGTGAAGAATTCCACAAAAATCAAAGAGAGATGCGGAATATCTATGGATGCACATATAGCAGACTCAAAAAGGTTCGGATGAATGGATTTAATGGTAACTGGTTCGAAATGGAGTTGATAACGCATATACTGAAAAGTGCAACATCCCTTGATCAAGTTGTTATCAATCCCTTGGCTCTTTTTTATCTCGGAGGTGGAGAATGGAGTCGTTTTACACCAGATGAATCCTGGTATGAATCACGACGAGATGTTGTTAGAAAATCACTTCAGGAAAATGCTTTAGTTGGTGTTCATCTTGTAGTCTTGTGATGCCATTTTCAATTTCTTCTCTCTTTTTTTCTTGAGTTTTAGTAATTACTCGTGTCAACAAACTTGGAAGTGAGGGCCTTTTGCTCTTATTTGTTTTGAATTAGTCCCAAAGGAATAATTGCCATCAGATACTTAATCTACTTTACAATAAACAAGAAACTAGGGGGAAAAGGGAGCATTTTTAGTGTGAACCAAATGCTAGAGTGAAGCAAATGTTTGAAGCAAAAGTGAGACCGATACCATTAAGCTCTTGGGGTTAATATTTTACTAATCAATACTATGCCTGTTTTTCATCAACAGGCTTCAAGCTTGAAAGAAAAAGGGTATACGTTACCTGGTACAAGTCCATGTAATACAAAAGGGTACATATCTATCTCTTGAGATTTTGTTTTGAAACAGAGGAGGGAAAACATGGGGTGGAAAGAAAAAAAAACATGGTTAAAAGAATAAGATTGAAGATTCTCGCCATCATTACTCTCTCCCTTCTGCAGAGCCGGTTGCACTGTGGCTAATATGAAGATTCTCGCCATCATTACTCTCTCTTTTTTCATTCGAATGGTTAAAAAGAATAAGATTGAATGAAAGGTCATTAATCCAGTGTTTGTTTTTTTTTAATCTATATTTATTGAAAAAAATTGAATTGTTTGAGCAAGGTGGTTGATATATAACATTAGATTAATAATCAAAGTTTATGATTAGTTTTAGCAGTCAAATTTGATAATACCTTGAGGGATAAATAATATCATTAAACCCTTTAATTTGTAAACCATAAATTGCTAGTGACTTTGTGCGCTCGCGCGCGTGTATTCTATTTTAAAATGGTATTGGTAACATGATAGGGAATAAGGGCTATTATGTGTGGACACAATATGATTGATGGCCATGGTTGGTGGCAACCATGCTTGACATAGTAAGAGTCAAATGGTGGGTGCCTAACCAAAAAAAATGTTACCCACATTGTTGATCAAAGGAAGAAGATTCTCTCCCACATCAGCTATAAATAGATAGTGTCATTGATAGCTTATCACCACAAAATAGAAAGAAACACAGAGAGAGAGTTGAGTTGAGTAGAGAAGTTTTTTCTCCTCCTTCTTGTTTTGTTGTTTGTATTACTTTTGAGCTTGATTAATACAAACCAGAAGCTCCGTGGAGTAGGCAGGTTGTCGAACCACGTAAATTGATGTGTGTTTGAATGCTTGAATGTCCTAACAACTGGTATTAGAGCTTGTTCTTGAAAAAGAGGGTCTTTGATCCAAACTCAAAAATCAAATTTCTTAAAATGTGTTTTGGAACATACCATCGTGAAAAGGACGACGAGAGGAGTCCACTAGTGAAAACCCGGTGAAAATCCAGTGTCCTGCATGCCCGCACGCGCCTCCACAGCACTGTCTAAGCGCACCGACGTGCCTCACGCGCGTCATGTGTCTTCCTCGCCTATTTCCTGCAACTTGACCTGCCACGTCATCAGTCACGTCAGCAGTTCTGCACAGTCATCAGACACGTCACATGACACATCAGCAGTCTGACCAGTCAAAATGCCACGTCTTCAGTCACGTCATCGACCACGTCAACTCTGCCATGTCAGTCGAAAATCTTTGTGGATCTGCCACGTCAGATTTGGTGGACCCCACATTGCTTACATGTCTGACACGTTAGCTCAGCCACGTCAGCATCACTGGGTTTTGATCCGGTATGACGCAGTGACTATTCCTCATGCCACGTCGCTTCATCTACAGCGTCCAGTGATCCCAAGTTTGATTGTTTAAAACGGAGCCATCCGAAGTCCAATTTGGGTGATCTTAGTGTCGTTTCTAACATTTTTAGCCATTCCGGACACATCTGTAAGGTTAGATTTTATAGATTCAAAGCCGAGAAAGATTAAAAATGGTTGACGAAATAAAGGCTGCGGGAATTGAAAAATTTGATGGAACTGATTTTGGATATTGGAAAATGCAAATTGAAGACTATCTATATGGGAAGAAACTTCATCTTCCTCTGTTGGGGAGCAAACCAGAAAACATGTCAGAAGAAGATTGGCAAATTCTTGATAGACAAGTTTTGGGCATTATCCGGCTATCCCTGTCAAGAAGAGTTGCTCATAATGTTACAAAAGAGAAATCCACAGCAAGATTGATGGAATGCTCTATACTATCTTGTGTGTTTTAAGTTAGGATAATTAATTTGTGCGATCGCGACATCGCAACAGAAAGTATCCCTTTACTTGAATTAACTTGATCCTTGTCAGTTGTTATGGTCTTCTGCTTGCTTTGGACTGTAGTGTTGTCACTTGGAATACCCGAACTTGCATCAATTTCCTCACTCCCTAAGCAACTTGCCTCAGGCAAGTATTGTTGAACATAATCATGAAGTGACTGAGGATTCATATGTTGGATTTCCTTCTCATGTACCCATGCATCTTCTGATTGCGGTTTGGATGCCTATTGAACCAAGAATTTGTTATAACTGCCCTTTCTATTGGACATGTACTGATGTGCTAAAATACAATCCACGATTTCTAGTGTAGGAACAACATGAGGAATTGTTGATGGTGTAGGCTGGTCTTCAAGAATTGATGGAGGGCCATGGTAGGCCGTGAGATCTGTAATATTGAAAATGGGACTAAATTGAAACTCTGGAGGCAAATCAACCACATAAGCATTGTCTCCTAATTTCATCAAGATTTTAAAAGGACCACCCCTACGAGTATGTAATTTGCTATATGTTCCAGGGGGAAATATCTCTAGTCGTAATCTTATCAATACAAGATCTCCTTCTACAAACTGCACTCCCCTTCTGTGATAATTTGCATGTTTAGCATACTTAGCCACTTGCTCTGCCATTTTACATCTGACGCTGCTATGTAATGAGGACATAAAGGTTGCAAAATCTAGGCTATCTTCACTAGTTTTTTGAGGTAATGGTAGAGAAATGGTGTCAGTAGGTACTTTAGGGTGCAATCCATATACCAACTCAAAAGGTGTGTGCCCTATAGTCCGATTTACAGAGTTATTGTAGGCAAATTCTGCTTGAGGTAGAATTAAATCTCAACCGACACCATGCTCATTGGTTAAACACCGTAAAAGATTATCAAGACTTCTGTTTATTACTTTAGTTTGGCCATCGATTTAAGGGTGGAAGGCACTAGAAAAAAAGAGTTTTGTCACTAACTTAGCCCACAATCTCTTCCAAAAATAATTGACAAACTTAACATCGTTGTTTGAGACAATAGATAGTAGAATGCCATGTAGCCATATAACCTCTTTCAAAAACAAAGATGCAATATGGGAGGCATCAAAAGTCTTCTTGCAGGGAACAAAATATGCCATTTTTAAGAACCGATCCACCACCACCATAATGGAATCATGCCCCCGAACTATCCTGGGAAGTCCCAAGACAAAATCCATGCTTAACTTAAGCCATGGTTGATGCAGGATTGACAAGGGAGTATAAAGACTAGTATTAGTCTTGTTTCCTTTATTCAGTTGACAGATCCTGCATCTATTCACAATAGTATTAACATCCTTTCACATACCTGGCCAGTAAAACCGATCTGCAACTGACATGACGAAAAGATTGATGTCTTCTCCCAAGTGCAGGAGTGTCGAAGTAATAAATACCTCGGCAAGACCGGGATCGAACCACAGGGAGGTTAATTGTACAAATTATAAACAATTATAAACAACAACAATAATAATAATAATAACAACAACAAGATAATAACAAATGTCAAGGTTAGAGGTTCCACTAATGGTATATCAAACAAGTATAGTATAAACTCTTATTATTGAATTGGAAACCACACACAAAGGAGGTTCCAATCAGATTATATATTGTTAACATGATTACATTAGTCATCTTATTCAATTAATGCTAATACTTGTAAATCTCGTCAAGCATTCATGATTATAACTTATGTTAACAATAAATCAAGTTCCTTTCATAGCTCAGGTGTCGGTTATACCATACATTATGGGCTATGAAAGTGCCAAGCATTTGTTGTACCAAGTGTTATACAACATAAATCAAGATTAGTCATTTAACAAGCAAAGTATTAAAGAGTGAACAAGATAACAAATATAAAACATGTTAGTATCAAACATTAAAGTCCATATTAAGTTTACATTATACTTATTCTTACACCATTAGTGTAACCTTTTCACCTTGACATAATTAACTTAGCTAGACATAATGAAAGAAAGCAAAATAGATAAACAAAATAAGAACATAAAAGTTAACTAAGTAAAGGAAAGGAAATGAAAGGCATAAACTTGATATTAATGAAAGTAAAGCATAAACATTACAAAAAATACAAAGAGAGAAAGGAAGAGCATGATCTTGATCTGGAAACCAAGATGCCTAAATGCATGGCAAATGCCTCCTTTTATAGGCCAAAATTGGGAACTATTGATTTGATGACTAATTGATAAGTGGGTGACCAACTTTTGACTTGGTGACAATCCTTATCTTCTCTTGTCTGCCCAAAACGTCATTGATAACGTCAAAATTGGAGCCAGTTGTAAACATGAAAGTTGTAGGCAATTGTCTCAGCTTTCTTGTGTAAAACATTCAGCTCATTTGGACTTCTAGAACTCCAGATATGGCTAAAATACTGAACAGTCCTCAGGCTGAAGGATAGATTCGAGGTTCTTTTTTGTTGCTACAATTTGGAATTGAAAATGGCCTTTTTAGATCTTGGGCTCCATATGAAAGTTGTAGGCCTATGTCTTACCTTTCCATCCATATAAATTGGACCTAAATCTGAGATCTGTAGCTCCAGATATGACCCAATTACCGAACAGTGTTCCGGTTTGGATTGCACCGACATCTCTTTTCTAAGTTTGGCCATCTCTTTATCCTTGCAATTTAAGTTCTTCAAGTCATCAATCAATCCTTTCATTTATGTGATAGGCCTGCATTAAAAATAGACATTTACCACAAATTATAGGTATCTTATATTATTAGATATATTATTATAAAACATGCTTTGGTTAAGGAGTTATTGATACTTCAAGTGCAAAATGATGATATAAAACCTTGATAAAAATGCACTTTTAAGTACTAATCACACCCCCCAACCAGCTTATTACTAGTCCCTAGTAATCAAAGCGTTAAAATAGAAGAATAATT